AAGTGGAATTTCAGAGTTATTAAACTGTATTTCCAGTGTATCTTTGTAGTTAAATTGAACTGTGATTACACTGTTTTTTATAGAGTAAGTGTTGTGCTTTTTGACTGGGATTTTCAATGTAATTACTCAGTGTGTATGTTCATTAGGATATTCTGTTTGGGATGTGAGCATGTGGGCACACATGCTACTAAACTATCTGGTTATCCCTTGCCTGATTCATGTGGGTTTCGTATACAGTGTGTGCTTTTTTCTTCCACTATCTAGTTTGCTCTGGCTTTATTAGTGCTTTACAATGTTACTAAACTGTCCAGTTCATGTTTCCTCTATTGATTTATGCATTACATCTGCTGTTTTCACATGACCTGGCAAAAATTCTCTCTAGATCTTCAGAGCTTAGAAAATTCACTAGGCATCAAAGTAGGGATTGGAATTGGAGAATCTTCAGAACTGAAAAAATTGGGACCCCTCCCCTGGCTTTTTTACTGTCCAGGCGTAATTGTGGTCTACTTTTAAGAAACCGGGTCTAGGGCATCAAACCTGTTATGGTCCAGATGGGATTTTAGGTTGGGTCGTTTCAGTCCTAATACATAAATGCGCTGATTTTGTTGTTCGTTGACATACATACAACCAAAGGTGGAAATAAAGGGCATACACGTGTCAGCTGCCTATTTGGTGCAAAATTTGATTGTAATTCAATTGGATTTCAGTCGAGTGTCAAATAGACAGTCCCATGAATAATTCTCCTACGCACAAAAATATTGCAGGACGGAATAATTGTTTCCAAAAGAATTTAATATGTGTTAACAAAATAGACTGAACGGATATCACCTGATTTATAACCCGGATGAAGTGATTGCACAGTAATTTGACCAAATGATGGCCTTCACGTCCAAACAGATGTCCATGCATCCAGCCAGTTTTTTTTAAACAAGTCATGCCCCTCGAGCAGCGCATAGAAATTTGGCGTCCTTCTCAACTTGGCCTTTACGCAAACAGTGCTCAAGGAATACCACTCCGTGACTAGACTTGCTTCGCTCAATTAATACCAGATGACCACTTGATAATTGATGTTTGTTCGTTCGCATATTTGAAGCGAGTTGATCCTCATCGACTTGCAACACTGCACATACGTCGGTAACCCGGCGCTGTACAGAGCGGGCGGGCGCTCAAGGCAGGGGTGACGCCAGCGGAAGCAGCGACGGGAGGCACTCATCAGTGCATGTCGGAAGCTGCGGCTTGAGGCTGGAGCGGTGATCCGGTGCTGCAGCAGGAGCGGTTCAACGAGCAGAGGCGTGGCGACTCGACAGGGCGCTCTGGCAGTAAGGCAGTACCGGGGGTGAGGCCCCCCAGCAAGTCGATGGTCCGGCGCAGCGGCCATGGAGGCGAGGGCCGCGGCAGGGGCGGCAAACCAGCACGACAGCTCAGCCACACGGCGGTGAAGCCGACAGAGGCGAAGTGAGGCCATGGCGGCTTGATGAATTTTTTGATCAACCTGGTTCTTCTTGTGCACATATTGATAAAATCTTCATGGAGTCCCAAGCGTTAGGCCAGCTCTCAAGCGACAGCTCAGAAAACGGGTCCATGGCGAGACCCGCCGCGGGGAGGTGACAGGCGGCGGCTCAGTGGAGATGGAGCCCTTTTAAGCACAAGGCAAGGCAATTTAGTGCGGAAGCGAGGATCGTAGCGCGGAGGGATGCCGAGGCCCGACGACGACTCAGAGAGAGGCCGAAGAGGCGGCGACTCAGCAACCTGAGGCCAGGACGGAGGAGGCGAGTCTGAGTGGGAGGCGGCTTGACGGCAACTCGGCGCGGTGGGAGGCGACACGCAGGTCACCAAAGGAGCGCGCCGGCTGGACGGAGATCAGTCACCGAGGTCGGCTTGACGGCGGAGACCAAGTCTCCTGTTCCCATCCACTTACGGTCGTGGGCTGTTTCCCTTTTTTTTTTCAGACCAACTTGTACGTCCGAGGTCGACATGGAATCTGGGAGCGGATTGTTTTTTTAGCGCTACAAGGCAATATCTGCACCTCGGACCTGCTGTTCTTTGTCTGATTCGAACTTCATGGCAGGTTTCGCAGAAAACGGCAAGCATCACGGATACACGCACATATTCTTGGCCATGTGATGTTTCCTGTTCCTTTAATTAACTAGTAAGCGAAACAACCTATACAATTCATGTGAGTATTGAATATCCAAATTCTTATGAAAAAATAATTATTTTTCATGTAATGGAAGCTCTCTTGGGTGAAATGAAGCTCACTGTATACTATTCCCTCCGTTCACAAATACTATAATTTGGATATTTCAATATGAATTACATACGGACTCAAATGAGTGAACAAGCACACTAAAACGTGTCTATCTACATCCAATTCATATAAAAGGTAGAACATCTTATATTTGTGAATGGAGGGAATACTAAGCGTGTACTTGTGTCATCTACTCATCTTGATCAAAGCAGCCTATGAAATTCATGTGAGTATTGAATTCTAAGTTTAGATTCCAGAAATTTGATGTGTGTGTGTGTTGGGGGTACAAATATATGTAGTGCCTGATGATCCCCACATCTCTCATGGTCAAGCTTAATATAAACCCAATCACTTATCTTTTGATTATGTCATGTGAAGTTCAAGAGGACAAGGAAATCCTAATCCAAAAAATCATAGTTGTATAGTCAAGAATGCAGAATGTCTAATTTCTCGTGTGAACTTGGAAGGGCTTATAATAAGTATAGTCATTCTCCATGTGAACATGACAGAGATGCAACTTTGAATAAAAATATTAAAAAAAGTTGTAATCCGTTCCTCTTCGGTTCAACCTACATGTTATCTTCAGAACTGAATTGCTGGACTCAACTATAACGCTGCCCGTGGGAGTGATGGTGAGACGATAGATGAGTCCGCCGGTGGTCAAGACCGTTTTGCCCCCATCCTGAGTCTCTCATCACCTGTGGTGCAACATCCGTGAACAAAAATGATGGGAATTTAACATTTTTGTATGACATGTATGGGAAGCAAAATTAGTTCTGCAAAGATTAAACACGAATTAAACTTGTCATATCAACATCTCAGCTGTGGAGAAAGATCTAGTGTTCTAGAATGGCAAACTATACAATAAGGTAAATAGGCATGAGTAGATCACACGCTCAAATAATCATTGTTTCGCAAAGCTAAACCAGGAAAGGAAAAAACCCACACAATATTTAGGAAGACCAAGCCACACAAAAGACGTTTCTAATGAGATGAATATACCCGCAAAAAAACAAATTTAATTAGCAAATTAACTACTCATTTATACTCGAAATAAATGAAGGTGCACTAATGATGTGCATATCCTTCCTGGATTAACAGGTTTAAATTGTTGTCAATGATAGGACCAAATGCACGGGCAAATTCATGCCAACAACAGTGAATAAAAAAGAAAAAGAAAAATAGAATAACCTAATTGAGCAACACGCGACCAAGACACTGCAAAGGCGGTGTCATGTAGGAGGCAAGAGTACATCACTCGAGCCAGTATGAAAATACATTAAGACAAGCATACAAACAAGGCTTTGTCATGAGTTCTTCCCAGCATACTGCATACATAATTTGAAGGGGCTTATTTAAAAAATGGTGGCATGTTATACTTTGCCACTCATGAGTAGCAAGCACGTTGTTGAAGTTGTATAGCCACAATCAGCATCCTTCAACGGGCTATCACTTTGTCTAGATTTTTTGGCCTGAATCGTGGGCGCTCTCAGTACACGCACCTCTGAAAAACAGAGAGCACCCATATAAGCCTAAATTCCTTGGCTGAGGTTGGCTTAAAAAAAGGGACTTCTTCCTTGGTTGTTGTAGAACTACATGGCCTGAGCTGCAGTTATTTTGTATCTGCTATTTTGGATTGCTAGAGTTCATGTTCACCTCCAACTTGCATCAGCAAAATATGTAGGCCTCGTTAGTATACTGGACAACTACAGAGCTAATGGAACTGCATAATTTCAATACACCTACATCAGGCTTGCCGATCAACTACTCAGGTAAGAGTTGAAACCGAGCTCAACCAGTAATTAAAAAAAACAGTTAAGGAAAAACGTCTCACCCTTGTCGACAGTATGCAATAATCATGCCTAAGCACTATGTGCACACATGGTGAGAGATGCCACTACATGTCACGGTAAACAGCTAGCCATTCCTATTGTACAGATTTGCAAGTCTTAGGATGTGGTAAAATTCTAGGTAAGCAGGTTAGCATTGCCATACTTGTCATTTGGATCAATACGGCTGTTATACATCTCTGACCTCATCAGTCCATCAGTAAAAGAGCAAATCATGTAAGGCTTGATTCAAATCTCGCATAACTGAACTTAACGAACTGATGATTGTAGATTGAATGCAGAACCAGGATGTCACTACTTACAAAATATTTACCCTAAAAAATCATGGATGGTGAGCTTGTTCTTGACTTCTGTTAACTCTTAACACTCGACTTCTCCATGGAAATATAAGAAACAAGAGGATGAAAAGGCCAAAGATGGTGTCCTTTTTGCCAACACAGCCTGCGCCTGATCAGATCTTGGGACCTAGGCATCTCTTGGTTGCTGTCAGTAAAAATATTCCAAACTTTGATGCTCAGTTTCAGCTTGTCTAAAGGCTAAAAAAAGGGAAGTTAAATCACAAATGTGATCATTGTAAAGGTTCTTAACAAGTTCATCTGTACTGGTCATCAAAGAATGAAGGTTAGGATATAAGACATAGAGAAACATGCATAGCATCTTTCTGGATATATCGCAGACTGCCGCTAACTCGTAACAAAGAATATCATTTGCTAAAATTGGTTCTACATTAACAGAAAAATTCACCAATTTAAGGGATGTGCTTTAAAAAGATCAAAACAGATTGTATCGGGAGGTTGCTATATCTATATAGTGGGGCGAAAGCCTATTTCGTAAAGATCAAAACAGATGCAGTAGATAAAAAAACACCAATTTCCATAGACAAATCACCAAGCTAAACATACTTATGTACTGATATATGGGATAAAACAAAACCATGCTTCCTGGTCATTGTCATCAAGGAGAAAATTACAAGACTGGAGATTCTGAACAAATATTCCCATGTAGTGTAGTTCTAGCACACCAAGCGGCAAATCGGCGCCATATCTGCAAGTTACAGGAAACCATAAAAATATGTAGTACTACTCAAGAAAACATCTTCTAAACAGAGCATCATAAGCATTCTCAAAAGTCAACAGGATAATGTGTCTGCAGTAAGGTGAGAAAGGATACATGCCAGTTAATATCAAACAACACGTTCAACACATAACTGGTACAAAGTTGCAAACTGCATGCTTAGGTGACTCTTCATCTAAAAATGGGTATATTTGCCTCTGCAGAAAAATGCATTCTTATGATAATACAAAAATGTGGAGCCTTCCACCATACCTTAAAACATCTGACAAAGGGAGCCTTCCACCTTTAAGTCGAGCCATCCTATCCCCAATGGATCCTTCGGAAAACCTCATCGCTACACAAAGCTGAAATAGACAAAACAAAACTCCATCTTAATTGATTCATTCACAGGCAACCCAACAGCAAGTGTCCACCAGAAAATATATACCCTCCCATTATGCGTTGAGATGCCATGTAGGAAGCAGATATTGCCCGGGCACTGGCATTTGCGGAAGACCTCGTTGAACCTCGCCGAGAACACCTGCAGCTGGTCGTCCCTGACCGGGTGCAGCATCTTCACGTCGAACTCGTGGTAGAGGTCATAATACTCTGCCTTTGGTATCTAGGCATACACGAAGGGGCATCTCCCTATCTGGTGCTTCAGATCCAGCACCGCTGGGTCGATCCACGGGCTTATATGGCTCGAACCAAGATGAACCAATACGAAACTTGGAAGAAGCGGATGCCAGCGTCGAGGAGCTGCTGGGACCAGGAGGAGGAATCCTGCAGGTCGAGGGAGCAGACCTCCAGGGCGCCGCGGTGGATCAGCTCCAGACATTGGGCGGCGCCAAGGAAGCCCTGCCCCCTGCCCGCCAGTCACCGCGAACCGCACGCCTCGATCCCCTCCGCCTCGCTCGGGCATCTTTGCTGCAGCTTAGGGTGTGGGGCGGGCTGCGGCGCAGGGCGGGGAGGCGGCTCACAGCGACCGCAACGGGGCTCGGCCGGCGACGCGGCGTGGCCGTGGAGAAGAGAGGGAAATAGGGGAGATATGGCGCCCGTCGCGCGAGGCGGCGGCGGAGGCGTGGATGGCGTCCGTGGGGAGAAGGGAAGCACGGTAGAGGGGAGGAAGCGGGGGCGCAATCACGGCAGGGGATGATTTTGTTAGGCGCGTGATGTGCGGCGGCCTCTTTGCCTGACGAGGTGGATCGTGAGAGGGACAGGACGTGGGCGTGCCTGGCAGAACAATTAATGTGGAGCGTTAGTTTGTGTCACAAACTCTAGATGTAATATAGACTGTTAGATGCGATTTACTTTGACTAATCTAACGTCTTTGGTTCTTCCGTGTACATTTTGCTGTGTGGTTTTAGGGGAATTTTAGTTTGCTCTTTTAATAGTAGTATAGATCCGCTATTGTGACGTACGCGCGTCGTCTGCTGCTACTTTCTGGATGGTCCTCATGGCATTTGGTAGGATTTGTAGCAATACGCGAAGGCGTGGAGCCATAGCTGCAACTCGGCGGTCAGACGACTGCAGTCTTATGATTTGCACGTATCTCGAAAATCCTCTCGGCCTTGGCGACTTGAAAGCAATCAAACCAATCGCAAGACAGTGGCTGATCAAAACTGCAACCCTAATTTTTTTTCTCCATGTTAAATCTTTCGGATTGTAAATCTGGTCGGATGAACTTGAAGTTGATGCAGATCCTTGTGAGCCAAGTCTTTCTTCATCTGAAAACTTGCGAACTTCTCGATCTCTAGGAAAGATCCCTCCAAGAACTCATCACCACCGTGCGCAGCCCGACGGTGGGCGCCAACTGTCGTGGAATTGTCACGGCAGATGTTCTTAGTGTGAGGACTTAGTCGCGAGACCAACGCATCTATGTGGTAGCTTGAGAGGGGTTGAGCGGAATCGAGAGACGCAACACAACACAAGGGTTTAGACAGCTTCGGGCCCCGGGAAACATCATCCGGTAATAACCCTACATGATGTTTGTGGCTAGATCTCATTATGATCATGAGGGAGTCGCCATAAGCCGGCTCTTTGTGTCTAGCCCTAGAGATTATTTTCTGTCCCTCTTTGGGGAGCCCTGCCCCTCCTTATATATGTTGAAGGGGCGGGTTACATGTGGAGTCATAGTAGGACTAGGACTAGTCTATCCTTTCTCACAAATTGAATACAAGTCCGGGTCTTGCTTCCTCGTAAAGGAAATATTGGTCATCCCTTTCCTCTTAAGCCGGCCCACCAGAGTATAAGCCGGCCCGCTGGGCCTTGGGCCTTGTCGTCCGTCTGATCTGCCCGCCGGGTCTCCAGTGAGTCACAATGTCCGGGCAGGTTACATGTAAGCCGCCATGTCCGGGCGGATCGCCAGTGAGTCGCCAAGCTCCAGCCAGGTATTTGGTGAGTCGCCAAGCCCGGTCGGGTCATGATTCCGGCCGGGTCATACCGCGGGGTATATCCCCGACAGGCAGAGAACTTCCTTTGAGGCGCCATCGGAGGCACTGCGAGCAATGGAGCAAGAAGGAGGAAGCAAGCGAGGAAGAGATGGGCAACGGGGGCTCCGCCCCCTCCCTATTTATAGCAAGAGAAGGCCAACCGGCGTCCCCCATGATCGCAGCTAATGATGGTTTCCCTTGCATGTCGCAGGGACTTGTCAAGTCGTGCAGTCGCCGAAGCAGCGTGGGGAAGCGGAGACGCCCACGTTCAATCAACCGCCACGCGTCAATCGAGGCCGCAAGCTTTTGGGGCCCGTGGCGCTTCGAGTTTGACCCTTGGCTTTGCCGCGAAGCCAAGCCCGAGCGTACCTTGGGCCCGGGGGCTACTGTCGGCGTTCTGGGAACGGGGGTCCCCAGACTTGCCTGCCTGGGGCCCGCGGCGTGGCTGAGCCAGCAGGCCGTACGACCCATCTCCACCAACAAAGCGCGCAAGACCCTCGCGAGGGGTCAAGCCTCGCGAGGTGGATGACGCAAGACCTCCTCTGGAGTGGCCTAGCTAGGCAGGCTCACGAGGAGCGGAGATATCAAGGCGAGGCGAACCTCATGAGGTTCTCGTGACGTGAGTCATGATGATCGACACCACGCGGGCGCCAGCGCGCACAGCGTCCTTGTTTCCTCTTTGGTGCAAAGGGGGCAAGCGCAGCCGTAGAGTACCAAGGCCTCAGGCAAAGGTTGCCATTTCGGTGCAACAAGACCAAGACCAAGGACTGCAAGACGGAGGTCACCGTGGAGCCCAAAACAGCGTCACCACCAGAACTTTGTGCAGATGAAGACTACTTTTGTCAGGATAGCTTGTACTAGTTGTCCCCCTTCAAATTAGCATGCCATTGTTGGCTCCCTTCCCGCTCGATATTTGGGAAGAGGACCAGAACCTCTATAAATAGGACTAGCCACCACATTGGGAGGACAGGATCGGAGTAGAGAGAAGGGGGGAGACACACAAGTTCATACGCACAAGAACACCTCAACCTCAGGAGGTCGTTCTGCCCTTGTATTGTTCATCATCAGCCCAAGAGGCAATCCACCACCACCACACTAGAGTAGGGTATTACACCACAACGGTGGCCCGAACCAATATAAACCCTGTGTTCTTCTGTGCTGTGAGTTCGTCGAGTTCGTCCACAAGACCCTAGCAAGCTAGAGCGTAGATCGGTTGGAGGGAAAGACTTCGCACGCACCCCAGTATTCGAACCTTAAGGGTTTGTCGAGACCCCAAACCCCGACAGGGGAGAATAAAATGGCAAATAATTTAATGCAAAAGATGAGAGCTTATGATGGGTACTTTGGTAGGCTTGATGTAGATCTCCCTAGCAACGACGCCATAAATTCTTCCTGCTACTTCTTGAGCTTGCTTTGGTTTTTCCCTTGAAGAGGAAAGGGTGATGCAACAAAGTAGAGATAAGTATTTACCTCAGTTAAGAACCAAGGTATCAATCCAGTAGGAGATACAAGCAAGTCTCCAATATATGCACCTACACAAACAATCAAACACTTGCGCCCAACGCGATAAAGGGGTTGTCAATCCCTTCACGGGCACTTGCAAAGGTGAGATCTGATAGAGATAAATATAAAAGATTACTAAACGTAACACAAAATAAAAGTAAATAAATTATAGCAAGATATTTTTGGTATTTGATTTATAGATCTGAAAATATATGATGGAAAATAGACCCGGGGGCCATAGGTTTCACTAGAGGCTTCTCTCTTCAAGGCAAATAATACGGTGGGTGAACAAATTGCTATCGAGAAATTGATAGAAAAGTGCAAAGTTATGACGATATCCAAGGCAATGATTATGCATATAGTTATCATATCCATGTCAAGTAGACCGAAATGATTCTGCATCTACTACTATTACTCCACACATCGACCACTATCCAACATGCATCTAGAGTATTAAGTTCACAAGAATGGAGTAACGCCTTAAGTAGGATGACATGATGTAGAGGGATAAACTCAAGCAATATGATGAAAACTCCATCTTTTTACCCTTGATGGCAACAATACAAATACGTGCCTCGCTACCCCTACTTTGTCACTGGGTGAGGACACCGCAAGATTGAACCCAAAAAAGCACCTCTCCCATTGCAAGAAGAACCAATCTAGTTGGCCAAACCAAACCGATAATTAGAAGAGAAATACAAACATATCAAATCATGCATATAAGAATTCAGAGAAGATTCAAATAATATTCATAGATAAACTGATCATAAATCCACAATTCATCGGACCTCGGCAAACACACCGTAAAATAAGATTACATTGGGCAGGTCTCCAAGAACATCAAGGAGAACATGGTATTGAGGATCAAAGAGAGAGAAGACATCTAGCTACTTGCTGTGGACCCGTAGGTCTGTGGCTATTCACCTTCATCAGAAGGGGAATAGAGTTGATGTAGAAGCCCTCCGTGATCGAATCCCCCTCCGACAGGGTGCCGGAAAAGGTCCCAAGATGGGATCCCACGGGTACAGAAGGTTACGGCGGTGGAAAAGTATTTTGGTGGACTCTTCTGGTTGTTTGGGAATATTTGAGAATTTATAGGCCAAAGATTAGGGTTAGAGGAGTCCTGTGGGGCCCACAAGCCAGGGGCGCCCCCCTAGGGCGCGCCCTGAGGGCTTGTGGAGCCCTCGGGACTCTTATGCCTTCCTCTCCAAGTCCTACATGTGTCTTCTGGTCCAAGAAAAATCGTCGTAAAGTTTTATTTCTTTTGGACTCCGTTTGATATTCCTTTTCTGTAAAACTCAAAAACAAGGAAAAAACAAAAACTGGCACTAGGCTCTGGGTTATTAAGTTAGTCCCAAAAATAATATAAAATAGCATATTAATGCATATAAAACATCCAAAACAAATAATATAATAGCATGGAACAATCAAAAATTATAGATACGTTGGAGACGTATCACCATCACACTTACGCACAATGTCCTCAGCATTAGCGTGAGTCATCAACCAGAAAAAATCATGCCTGAAAGCTTTAGCTATTAGAGACCTTGAGCCGACGTGATGACCACAATCCCCAACATGAATCTCATGAAGAATCTCACAGCCTTCATCAGGAGAAACACAACGTTGAATCACGCCC